ACTGTGGAAGACATCTTCAAAAATGTGAAAAAAATCGAAAAAAGAGGAATATGAGAAAAATCCAAGAGGAATTGAAGCTAGCCAGGAGATAATGGCTAAAATATGGTCGAAAGCAAAAAATAGTATCCAGATGCGCTAGAGGACATGCTATGAAGTGTTGAATCGCGTTAAAAATGGAACTTGGACCAGCGGAGCTGTAGGTGACGCAAAGTGCGAAAAACGCCCTGTTTGAGCCAGTGGGGAGGAATTGTTGGGATGCGCCAAAAATTGTTCGGGACTTCTGGATACATCACTGCAGTGAAGTCTTGCTATTTAAAGGTTGATTTTATGAAGCAGTGCATGAAACGAGTAAAATGAGCACAGTGAAGACTTCAGCCCCTTTTGCACTCTGGTCCTTCCACTGCTGGCATCGAACTTCCAGCACATCCCATTTTTTTCCCACTTCATTTGTTTATGCCTTGCACAGCACAACGTACGGCCAAGAACACGTAAAAAAAGGATAAAACAGGCAGAGATGGCACATGATGCTTCCGGAGTCCATTCTGATGGGATTCGGAGCCTGATTTCAGTTGAAATTTATATGCACTCCTTAGCTGTAGGCAACTGTTCTTTTTTCATGATTACATATCTCACCAAAGCAGTTTTTTGGCCCATCTTCGCAGCTTCTAGTCGTTCGTGTTTTCTGGTTGTACACTCGGAACACGGCTGTTGTTACGATTTTAAACATTACGCCACAGTGATGTATGAGCTTTGTCCATAGGCGTGCCAAGGATGAGGAAAATCGCCGGTAAGAGGGCATCACTGATATCATTTTTGTTAGCCGAATATGCGCCCAGGGAATGTTGTAGAGTGTTGCTCATCGAATGGCGTGTCGCCGTATTGTGCGTCAAAGATGTGCGACGTGCGAACAGTTCCGAATGCCCTGGAAACAATCGCCATTTCTACATCGTGCCGCACTGAGTGGTCAAAGGTCGGCTTGAATATTAATTTTCCTCACCTAGCAAATTTCCGTTATTTAAACCAAGGCGTCATTCAAATGTTGTTATCCAGAAACACCTTGGAAGTTCTGCACAACTTTTACAATTTTTGGTAGGAGTTTGGAGTTCCTTACTGGGGCACCTTTAAGCAG